AATATTTATAGAATAGGAATCCATTTATACACTAAATTATATAAACTATATTTACATATGTAATATTCCAAATTTTCGAGAATTTTATCATTTAAGTTAAGGACTTGATTGTGAGAAAATATTATTTTGGGCTTAATAGCCAAATTATCCAAACTTGAGGGACTTAAAAGAAGATAAATTTGGATAACGATAAGCTATTTTTTCCTCCTTTTCCTCTTTCTTCTTCAGCCCGATTCTGCTCTTCTTTTCTTCTCCCTTGCACCGAACAAAGCCCCCAAGCTGCCAACAGCCCTCCCTTGAAGAAAAACCGGTAGGAAGCTTGGATATTTCTACTTCTTTTCTTGTTCTAGGACTGAAATTGAACCCAGAAATTCCCCCCTCCCTCTGCAAAAATCCAGATCTGCTCTGCTCTGCTCTGTCCGTCCAGTTGCTGCTCCTGCTTTGTGGGAACGAATTGCTTTGATTTTTCGGTAAGAACAGCCATGGGTCTCCTCCTTTTAGCCTTAAATTAACTTGGGTTACTCTAATTTGTGCTTTTGGTTCTCCAATTTCGGTAGATTTTCCCCTGCACTGCCGTCGGCTTCCTCTAGCTTGCAGCTCCGATTTTTGCTGCTAAATTCTTGTAAGTGGCAGCTTTATTTAAGTCCAAATTACCATTAAATTGCTGACTTGTGATGTCCGAAAATCTGCAGAAAATGGGGATGAATTCCGATAGCTTTAGGACAAAATTTAAGCACTAATTCAAGTGGGATTTATGTGATTGAGTGTTAATTGACTGCTGTGAGATTTTGGAGAAAACCCCGTGATTAGCTATGGTTTTGCCAATTTTGGAAGTGCAGTTACTATTCACGGATACTGTTCACGCACTGATGGCCAACAATTAACTGGGATTTAAATGTTTAGTTTGTAATATAAGAACAAATTTGGAGATATCTGATCATGTGGAGACTGATAGAAATAACATCGTAATTAGGGGGTAGTCATGGTGGTTTTACTTTTGAATCTGTGGTATGGTAATTAATTCTTGGACATTTTGATTAGGTTCTTGATTGTTCCGTCAATTTAACATTGAGATCGAGTCTTTGATTTTATGCGAGTGAGGTAAGTAAATTTATGATAATACCTGTACAATTTTTAAAAGCATGTTTTGATTTGTTTTTGAAGTGGTGGCGAGACTAAACCTGTTTTATACAAAAGTAAGTATGACTGATTTGAAGTAAAATTTTTTATGCTTTCATTAAATTGAGCATGACTACTTGAAATTTAATTGATTGTCCTGATGATCTGAAAGTGATTGGTGAATTATGGTTTTTCTGTTAACTTCTGCCTGTTTTGTCTCCGATGTGGTTATGTTATTAGTGACCTTGCTAGTGGGGGAGTTTACAAACGCTAGCACATGTTGACGTGTTATTGATAGAACCGCTTCGTTCGAGTGACCCTGCTAATGGGGGTTATACACCAACAAATAGTGCGCCTGCCAGTGAGTGGTTTATAACACTGGCCATAACCTATAGAGGAGACATCTATTTCGTTCCCGTACTGTATCTATTTTTCGTAATTACACTTGTTGGCATACTATAAGTTTAATAAAGGGCACTCCATATTTTACTTACTGAGTTTATCTCATAGTGATTCCTTGTCCACCATTTTAGGAAGCGAAGTCAAAGACGGGGAAAAACGAGGGGAGTGACGAGTTAGAAGGCTAGCCATCTTGTAAATTTGACATAGATTTTAGATATAAATCATGATCTTGTAAGCTAGATTTTGTTTGGAGATTTTATGATATCAGAGCAAATTTTATAATTTTATCTTCAGATTTTGTGGTATCAGATTGTGATATGATAAGTTCCGAGCCTTGTGCATTTGTGGGACCCTCTCACAAGTGTACGGCGTCTGTTACGCCCTCGGATTTGGGTTCTGGGGCGTAACAGATTTAGTGGTATCAGAGCTTAGGTTGAAATTAAGAGCTAAGGATTAAATTAAGCACCTCTAGATTGAGTGGTATCAGAGCCTAGGTTTAAATTAAATACCTAGGATTTGTTTAGAACTTGGCTGGCCAATGGATTTTAGAACCGTGGTGAGATGAGTGATGGGGTTATATAAGGGACGATTCTGATTCGTGTTGCCTGAATTTTCTAATCCATTTTGATGAGATGGTGATTTGATTGTTCTTGTTTCCTGCCTTCATACCTTGTGTAGATTCATGAAATTAATGTTGTCCGCCATGTTCTTAAGACCTTGTTTTGAAACTTGGTCATTTTCTGATAGTCTGCACTTGTTTAGACTTGTTATTTGAATAGAATTTTTGTATGCTCTTTTGCCACAATTGTACAATCTGGGGAGTTGCAGAGATCTTTTGTTATTGATCCTATTGGTCTCTACAGGATAACTGGTTGAGAAATTTGTTCTGTTTGTCACATGACCAGTGGAAGACGGGCGACCCTCTACTTTGTAAGAGATTCAAGACTATTTTAGCAAATGTTGTTTGTTTTCTAGATGCGTTTTAGGAGCTGGATAACTTAGTAATTTCGCTGCTCATTATCTTTCCGAAAGTCTTATAGTGAAGTTCATTTTTCCATTTGGAGCTTCACGGTCTATTCATGTGGCTCATTTTCTACATTGGTTAATCAAAAACAGTGATCATTCAATTGAAATTGCCTTGTTTTTGTGAAGATCGACAAGCTGTCATAAAGTTAAACTCTCTATTGTTGTTAATCTCTACATTCTTGATACCTGGAATTGCTTGAAACTCTTGAAATCCATCTTGAATCTTTCTTGAGATTGCTTTGTACTTATTCTTGAAACTGAAATCCAGAAATGGATAATAATTATTGAAATCCTCATTATCTTGATACTTGTTTGAAACAATTTCTTGAAACTGTTTCTGGCATTGTGCTTGGAATCGGTTCGTAAACCTTGCTTGAAATTAATTCTTGTTGGAATTCTACTCTTGAAAATCGACTGATATTGTTCTTGGAATCTATTCTTGAAAATCAATTGATATTTGGTTTTTGGAATCTAGTTTGAGTTGTCCTTGAAAATGTTCTTGTTCTGACACTGGTTCTTGCTCAAATTCTGTATACTACTCTTGTTTAAATTCTATATACTGCTCTTACTCAAATCCTGCATATTTTGCTAGTTCTTGTTTTAGTATACCTGTTGATCTTCTTGATTTTGATTTTGTTCATATGGACACCTCTTAGGAGGGGTGATGATTATTAGAAAATACTTATATGAGGCATTCTAAATTCCTGTCTCTTGCAAGTGTTAGTCTCTGTATCCTTGATATCTTAGCTTTGACTTGACTCTAGGATGACTTGATTGTAAATCTGCTTAGCCTCCATGGGCTATGAGGTAAAGGGGTAGTCTTTGAAATACCTGATGCCCTAGAGTTTTGTTCCAAGAGAAATGGTTCTTTTATCTGGCTTCTTTGATTTTTGTTTGCCTTTTAACTAGAAGACATGAATCTTCTAAGCATCTTGATCCCAGCCATTGCTTTATTCTGTTAATTAATTCTAGTACTTGAGGTGCTAGATCTTGACATCCTGATTATATCTACTCTTGAATCCTTGTTCTCATTGTCATTATTGAAATATCTTTTGTGGGCCTAATCCTTGAATTCTATTGCTTGTTTCAAGGTTAACTCTTGTCTCTCAATTTTGACTGCTTGGTTAAGTTTGATCTTGATTCTTGGTGAATGCCGTTTTGTTGTTGATTTTTGAGGCATTCTACCTTGCACTCTTATGTTTCAGTATTTCTCCAAGCATTCATATTTTCCACTGATTTCATTCTAATGCTATTCTGGAAATTTCACATGTCATTTGATGGGTCTAGCTTTTAACTCTTGTTAATTGCTAAAATCTGTCTCTTGATTCCAGTTGCTTTGTTAAACATGACCTTACTTATTGGTTAACCATGTTGTGGCAGAATTTATAAGGCATTTATGCACTCGTTAATTCATTCATGATCCATATATCCATTGGATGCTTATCCGTCTTTGATAGAGTTCAAAGTCTTGTGGTACTCGTCTGTAAATCCATGCCATTCTTTTCCAACTCGTCTTGTGTTGGATTCATAGCGTAACCCCACAATTGTTCTTTTGTGGCTTTGGCAGGATTTATTTTTATTTCTTGTGCTTTCCGTATTACCTCAGCCTCTAGTAGCTTATTTCATGGTAAACCCTGTTAAGTAGTTAATGTTCTGCTTTTAGGATTAGTTGTGGTTTGTTATCGGAGTGGCGTAGCGGAAGCGTAGTAGGCCATGTCTGTTCATAGAAAGTTAATGGGGCATTTTTTGTCTTGGATTGTGTGAAGCCATTCACCAGTCTAGATGATCCTGAATTTGAGTTTTGCGGACAAAACTCCTTTTTAGGAGGGGTGAATGTAATATTCCAAATTTTCGGGAATTTTATCATTTAAGTTAAGGACTTGATTGTGAGAAAATATTGTTTTGGGCTTAATAGCTAAAATGTCCAAACTTGAGGGACTTAAAAGAGGATAAATTTGGATAAGGATCAGCTATTTTTTTCTCCTTTTCCTCTTTCTTCTTCAGCCCGATTCTGCTCTTCTTTTCTTCTCCCCTGCACCAAACAAAGCCCCCAAGCTGCTGACAACCCTCCCTTGAAGAAAAATCGGTAGGAAGCTTGGATATTTCTCCTTCTTTTCTTGTTCTAGGATTGAAATTGAACCCAGAAATTCCCCCCTCCCTCTGCAAAAATCCGGATTTGCTCTGCTCTGTCTGTCCAGTTGCTGCTCCTGCTTTGTGGGGGCGAATTGCTTTGATTTTTTGATAAGAACAGCCATGGGTCTCCTCCTTTTAGCCTTAAATTAACTTGGGTTACTCTAATTTGTGCTTTTGGTTCTCCAATTTCGGTAGATTTTCCCCTGCACTGCCGCCGGCTTCCCCTAGCTTGCAACTTCGGTTTTTGCTGCTAAATTATGGTAAGTGGCAGCTTTATTTAAGTAAAATTACCGTTAAATTGTTGCCTTGTGATGTCCAAAAATCTGCAAAAAATGGGGATGAATTCCAGTAGCTTTAGGACAAAATTTAAGCACTAATTCAAGTGGGATTTATGTAATTGAGTGTTAATTGACTGCTGTGAGATTTTGGAGAAAACCCCGTGATTAGCTATGGTTTTGCCAATTTTGGAAGTGCAGTTACTGTTCATAGGTACTGTTCACGCACTAATGGTCAACAATTAACTGGGATTTAAATGTTTAGTTTGTAATATAAAAACAAATTTGGAGATATTTGATCATGTGGAGACTGATAGAAATAGCATCGTGATTAGGGGGTAGTCATGGTGATTTTACTTTTGAATCTATGGTACGGTAATTAATTCTTGGACATTTTGATTAGGTTTCTGATCGTTCCGTCAATTTAGTACTGAGATCGAGTCTTTGATTTTATGCGAGTGAGGTAAGTAAATTTATGGTAATACCCGTACAATTTTTAAAAGCATGTTTTGATTTGTTTTTGAAGTGGTGGCGGGACTAAATCTGTTTTATACAAAAGTAAGTATGACTGATTTGAAGTGAAATTTTTTATGCTTTTCATTAAATTGAGCATGCCTACTTGAAATTTAATTGATTGTCCTGATGATTTGAAAGTGATTGATGAATTATGGTTTTTTTGTTAACTACTGCCTGTTTTGTCTCCGATGTGGTCATGTTATTAGTGACCTTGCTAGTGGGGGAGTTTACAAACGCTAGCACATGTCAATGTGTTATTGATAGAACTGGTTCGTTCAAGTGACCTGCTAGTGGGGGTTATACACCAGCAAATAGTGCGCCTGCCAATGGGTGGTTTATAACATTGGCCATGACTTATAGAGGAGATGTCTATTTCGTTCCCGTACTGTATCCGTTTTTCGTAATTACACTTGTTGGCATGCTATAAGTTTAATAAGAGGCACTCCATATTTTACTTACTGAGTTTATCTCATAGTTTTTCCTTGTCCACCATTTTAGGAAGCGAAGTCAAGGACGGGGAAAAACAAGGGGAGTGATGAGTTAGAAGGCTAGCCATCTTGTAAATTTGACATAAATTTTAGATATAAATCATGATCTTGTAAGCTAGATTTTGCTTGGAGATTTTATGATATCAGAGCAAATTTTATAATTTTATCTTCAAATTTTGTGGTATCAGATTGTGATATGATAAGTTCCGAGCCTTGTGCATTTGTGGAACCCTCTTACAAGTATACGACGTCTGTTACACCCTCTCACAAATCTTATTGACATGGTACTATTTCATTGTACCATATTCTTCATACTTCAGAGTTGTTTCAATGGAGTTGTGGGGGTCAATAACTCATTACATTACATCAAAACATGTGTTGGTACACATTATTGGTGTTGCCTTCAAAACCAGATCTGGGTTTTCTTACCTTGCATTTTGCTGAACATCTTGTTTACTACTACTCCTTTCTCTTTCGCAAAAGCAATGAGCTACAACAAGTTTATCTTAAAGTTTAACCACATTTATTGAAGTTTAGTTTCACAAAAGAGATTAAAAGGTAAAAAATCATTTTCTTTAAATGTTTTTTAGTTTTTTTTTTCTCAATTTGCATGCTATCTTTTATTGTCTAGCGTGCAGCATCCTCCATTAAAACATCAACACTTTGGTTGTTATCATAGATGGAAATCAAGGAGAATCTTTTATCCTTTATATTGCTTTTGCATCCAGTGATTGATTAATCAATCATCATTAATCGATCATCAATCGATCACACAATTGCTTATGATTGCTATTGTTTTCGATCATTGATCGACCCACCATCGCTCAACGATTATCCATCAAATGATGCTAATCACACCAAAAATCCTTTTTGTTTTGCCATTGTTCCACACCAAATCTCCCTAGTGTCACAAGCGTTTTGTTACGCAAGTTTCTTTTCAATTATCTAGTAAGCCATGATGTCAAAAAACTCAAAAATTAGCCTAAAGATTGTTGGAAATTGGGAGTTAGAAAATAGATCATTGGCTTCAAAGCGTGCTGTAAATGCCACTTTCTTTTAAATTAATTTCGCCCCTACTAGATCTAGTATGCAAAAGGGGTAAACCAAAATGCTCTTAGGATATAATGAAGCGCCTTGTTGATCTTGCCTTTACACTTGTAAGATCAACCACTAAATTGTTTTTTAGAAAGCAACAATACAATAGTTTTTATATAGGGATTTCTACAGCAATCGCAATACAGGAATAAAATTTTTCCCCTTCACTCTTTTTTGTTTAATTCAAATATATTATAAAATTAATGTTATTTTTTATTTTTTAATATATATTTATACTAAAAAAATCTTTAATATGTATTTTAACTTTTCTTGATAAAAAGAAATATTATTTTATAAAGAAAATGTTTATCAACAGAATATTCAAGACTATAATAACTAATTTTTTAAACAATAATGAGAGGATTTTGGACCGTAGGATTCTGTCCCCGTTTGGCTAGCCATCTTAGTGCCCGTTTGGTCGTAAATATCATAGGGACCGTGGAATGTCGTTAATTGTAGATCAAGACCTAAGGCACGATGTGGCACTCCCTGGTCCAGCGTGAGGCTCCATTCCGAAGGAACCCAATCATTTGGCATTCGTCAAGCTGTCCTCTTTTGGTAGTGGTACCACCTTACATTTATTCCGCAAAGAGTTTCCTCCTTATATTAAATTATAGTGTAAAAATATTAAAAATAACTTTTAATATTAATAACTTCTTCTACAATACCCGGCCATCGTCTAGGCCTAAGCTGTGTATTCCATCAGTTAGCTTCCCGAGGATAAAGCTTAGGAGTAAGGGAAGATTGGGTTTGAGAGTTACAGCTTACGAATACTCCAAAAATGACGGCCCTCCTAATTCCAATGGCGATTCTAAGCTTCCAAACGGCCCTCTGGTACATTTTCCTGACTCTTTTTAGATACACTTGCTTTGCTTCAATTTTGGGATTTTGGGACTTTTGATTCTGGAATGAATTTGACAGCCTTAGAGCAGGACGGAAATTTTATTAGAGTATGTCAAAAAGGTGCAGCCGGAGTTTATGGAATTGTTTGTGAAAGGGGCACCACAACAGGTTCAATTTTGATTTCTTTGTTTTGGTACCGATGGCAATGACGGCCATTTTTTTTTTTTTTTTTAAGGTGGTTGATGCAATGCGCCAAACAGTGACAAACATGATTGGGACATTGCCCCCTCAATTTTTTGCTGTGACAGTCATTACTGTAAGTAGATTATGGTTTTAAAGGTGGCTACTTTAAACTTATTGATTTCATTTTAGTGTTGTTTTTGGTAATTGGGATGATTGCTTGGATGTTCTTTTAGGTGGCTGAAAATCTTGCACAATTAATGTACAGCGTTATGATAACTGGGTATATGTTTAGGAATGCACAATATAGATTGGAATTGCAACAGAGTTTAGAGCAGGCTGCTCTACCTGATGCGCAAGAGAAAGACAAAGTGGTAGTTTTATCCCTTTTCCTGCTGAATTAAACTGTTTTTGAACTATTTTCCAGAAGTTAATAGCATTGTCTGCTGATCGAGGCTGTGTAATTCTATAGCATTGTGTTAGATGTGATGAATCTAAATTATTAATATTCAACTTTTAAGATTTAATTTGCATTAGCTTGAGCCTTGAGATTCAATTAAGTAACCTAAAGATTAACATAATCTTGACAATCATATATTCTTTATGGTCAATATCATTGCCAAGTTGTCTTGCAGGTCATTCTTGTCTAGACAGAATTTAATATAAGGGCACGATATGGTCTTGGATAATCATATCACCGGTCATGAATGTGTCATCCAATGCATGCTTGCATCTTATCATCTTTCATATTTTGATACTCTTTGACCCTAAGCAAATCCAATTTGCAAGTTCCCTTGATTCTTTGATGAAATTCATGTAAGCCTTGCTTTTATCAATTGTGATTTAAATTTTCATTATTTTCCCGTATGATCAAACACTTATCTAAAGGTTTTTCAAAATAAGATCATTTTGTTGAATGTGTAGCTAAAACCATACTCCATGCACACACACAAATCGGGAAATGGAGAAGAGGATACTGTTTTTCAGTAAAAGTGCCAGTCTAGACTGAAATTATGAAGAGACTTGTGATATTATTCTTTTTTAGTCATTTATTCTAGTCTGGACTAAAAACAATATTTTCTTGGAAATAACTTGGTTTCTATGCATGAAGAAATTAATCATCTTCTGAGATACAATAATCATGCCATTTTATTTGACATTTGATATCTTGTTCTTAATTTCATTTTTGATATATGTTGCAGACAAGTGTAACAGAGACTAGTGTCTCAGAACTTGCCAAGCTTCTTTACTGGCTGATGGTGGTTGCATACAGCATCCGTAATATTGAAGTTCGATTTGACATGGAAAGAGTACTTGGAACTCCTCCAAAGCCTCCGGAGTTGCCTCCAGGAGAAAATAATTAGACATTTTGCATAACAATAGAGGATATAGCCAAGTTGGAGGATATTGATCTGAATGCCTCCTAATGCATTAAGTTTGTGGCTTGTGGGAGGAAAGGGCTAATATTTGATAATGTGTGGACAAGACATTAACGATTTTGAAACCTTTTATCGGTAATTTTGACATAAATCAATCATGCACACATGGATCAATCAAGCAACATCTTTAGCAAATGTTTTAGTGGTTAAGAGTTTGACCATTTTATCATTTTTTTTTTTTTGGGTGAAATTTGAACATTTATATTAGAAGTCTTTTTTCCAAATCCTAAGAGAGGTAGAGGAGGGGTTAGACAGGATAGGGTTATCTCATATTATGAGTGTCATGCCTCAATCCCAAGGTCAAGACATGACAAACGCCACACATCTATAGGGATGATCCCATAAATGTGTAAAGTTACATCAACTAAACAACTTTTAATCTCCATATGCAATAAAGTTAAGTTCTATAAGAAACTCCACCTCAGTTAACATGTACGAGTAGTTGGTTAAATCCAAAACACTTGATCCTCACTTCATAAAATCCAACATAAAATCTCATAGCAATAAGTCATAGCAAATAGGTCTTCATTTCTAAATATTCTACAATCCAGAAATAACTTAAACTAAACCAAAGAATTACTCTAGGACCGTTGTGCCTCTCACTCCCAAATGCAACCCTAAATACTCACTCTTCTGTACCTAAAATGAGATGAGATTTTAAAAGCATAAGCTAGATAGCCCAGTAAGAGGATACCCATCTAGTTCGATCAAGCATTATATTTCAATGAAAATAATAATTAAATAAAGCAAACAACTTTACATTAAGGAAACCACATTCCAAACTAGATGAAAAAAAAAATGATAATTACAAGTTCTTTAGGCTACATCACACTCCAAATATAACATCACACTCCACATCACACTCCATAATAAATAGATCTCAGGACCACTATCAATACCCTTAGTATACCCCTGAGAAACGGGTTAACTTAACTAGCCAACCAAGAACATGAAAACCAAGTATTAAAAAAAAATTATTTCCAATTTAGTAAACCACATTCTTCGATAGAAAACAGTCCACATTCAAAATGCTTGATCAACATTCATCTCATTTCATTATAAAAATATTCTTATTTTTAAGACACAATAACCAAATAAGATTATATAAAATATATTGAAAAGGTAAAATAAATTTTAATAAAACAAACCTTTTAAAAGAATACTAGAGGGTATAACAACTTACCTTGAATAATTAATCAATTTTTCACTCAACATAGCCTCTAAATTATTTAAAACATTTGTACTATCTTCTTTATTATAATTGAAAAGATCTACAAATCGCAAGTCATTTTGTTAGAATCGAAGCGGTAAAATTCCCTCAATTCAAATACTCCAGCAACTACATGACGAAAGCTCCTTTCTATTTGTTTTCAAAAGTGGGCGGCAGCATTTTCAGAAGTAGGCAGTGGCATTTCAAAAGTTCTGCAAACCTAGCAACCAATGTTTTCAAAATCGAACCAAAGGTCAAACCATTTTGATTTTTGGTTCACGATTTTGATGGTTCAACCGGTTTAACCGATTAAAAAACCGAGTTGATTAAATTTTAAAAATATATATTAAAAGTAATATAATGCAACTCATGTCAAAGAATTACTTGTGGTGCCAATAGTCAGGACTTTTAATTTCATTTAGGAGAATTGCAGTTTGAATCTCACGAGTGGTAAAGTTGTTCAATTTATGTAATCTACCATAAATATATCTTAATGCATAATTTGACAACAAATTTGAATCAGATCAAGCGGCACGAATTTGGTTGAGCATCCTAGAGGATTAGTGTTCAAACCTCATCGAAGTCATTTTCCTTTTTAAATCTTTGCAACATTCACTTGGTAACCCTTCATGAGACCTGGTGTTCGAAACCTAATGGAGACAAATGTAGGAGAATTTTGTCCCAAGAGTTGACCTAGTCGGTTTGGCGAGTTACTGGTTCTCATCGGTTTGGATGGTCTGAGCGGTTTTAAACTATTCAATTGCTTAAATGGTTTGAAATGTTCACCCGACCCGGTTCTTCTATCGGGTGTCAATCCAACCGGTTCAATCGATCAATCCGGTCCGATTTTCAAAACCTTGCTAGCACCATTTCCTATTTAGGCTTTAGTAAAAATGTTTATAATTCTTTGGTTAGTCCTTCCACTCTTGATTCCTTTATAGTTAAACCCCTTAATTCCACCTCCTTATATTTAAATTTTTTAAGGGCTTAAATAAAATTATTTAAAAATTATAAAATAAATAAATACCGGGTATTACAATGAGTAATGATTCTTTATATAAAATTTTAAAATAAAATTTTGGTTAAATCCCTTGACCCTCTAATTTTATCAAATGTTTAGTTAATTTATTCAAATGGTATTAGTTTTAAAACTATTTTTTACTTTTATAAAAGGAAAGCTAATTAGATATTTACTTTCCTGTACTTTGAGGTTAATCTCTTTTCAAGTGATTTTAAGTGTATATCTTTCCTGTCATTGTGCCCTTAAGATTGTTTGTTGTATTCAAAAAAACATAATATTTTTCAATGTTGCCCTAAAGACTTAAATTATGGATGTGACTTACAAAACGATACTTATAAATTAGTGGATCTAACCATTTGGCCTATTATATAGTATACTCTTAATCTAACCCATAAAGTTATAAATCTTTTTTGTTAAAAATTATAAATAAAAAAAATTATTTGCAAAAGCATCCACTTGTGGACAACTTTCAAAATGAAAAAAATGAAATGGCTAGTAAGGTAAGTGACGGTCAAATGCCAATACTAATTAAAGTCCCTACGTCAAATGACCAAGAAGCACGGCAAAGGACGACTTGACTTTGAAGGTCCACTCCAAATTTCAATACCAATAGTAGTACTAGTGCAAGTTCACGGAAGGTCCACGGCGCAAGTCCCACCAAGGAAGAACCAATTCAAATTGCAATACTAATCAATGTGTCCACTAAAACCTGGATGGTGTTATTGCCACAGTTTCAAAGGTTAACACCACAGCCTTTTTTAATTGATTGACCATTATGCCCTCTCTTATATTTTGCTTTTGTTTTTCATGTCATCTTTCATGAGCAAAATCCTAATCTCCTCTCAAGAAACCATCTTCCATTGATGGAGGCACTGCCCATTTAGCCTCCTAATCACATCAAAATGACCAAAATTTCAATCTTAAACACAGAAAGTCACACATCAACGAGCCCAAAGGCAATTTAAATATTATTAGATTGTGATCTGATGAATTTTTGAACAAAGATTACATTCTCCTACAAATATTATTTTATTTTTTATTAAATTTCATTAGAGGAATTAGTAAACAAGAAGTCAATCACCTAAATGGAAAATTTTCAGTTTTAATCTATAGGGATTTTGGGATTTAGAAACGAAAACTGAAGAAAGGAAAAATCCAAGGGAATGATTAAAGAGGGGGAAGAACAACGGAGGAGAAAGGAAAGTGAATGTGGAAAAGGGAAATCAAAGAAATAAGGAAGAGAGAATTTCAGCAAAATCAACTAGAAAAAGCAGGAATTTTTTAATGGCAATTCTATGAGGGTGAAAGATGCAAATAAGTTCTGGAACACTACTAGAAAACAGTATATAATCGACAAAAATATAATCGACAGTCAAAAAACTGTTGATTTTACTTGTATCATAAAAACTCTGTTGATTATAATAAAATGTCGATTATATAAGTATAATCGACAACCAT